TTATTTGGTTTCACAATTAAATATTTATCAGTAGTAATTTTAATACTATTATAATATGAACTTTTACTATATTAATATCATACATTTTATTGAACAATTTATATTATAATATTATTAATAATATTTATTAATATCTTATTGAATATTAGCTAGAAAAGATCTTATTTATTAATATTAAATAGTAAAATAGATAATATAATTATAACAAAATAATTCTAGTAAAAATAATATATAAATTATAGTTAAATTAACAATAATATTATAGTAAAAATAGTAATATACTAGTAAAACAAGTAATTAGATTCCAGTAAAAATAATAATAGTATTAAAACAAAAGTAATATTTAGATTCCAGTAAAAATAATAATAGTATTATAATAAAAGTAATTATAAAATATAAAATATTATAAAAGTAATATAACTTAGTTAATAATTTGAAATAAGTTTCTAGTATAATAGAACTTAGTAATAATTTAATATAATTATATTTTATTGATTTAATCTTGAAAATAGATTACTTATAATTACTAATTTGTTATATTTAACTTAAAAAACTTATTATCTTGAATTATCACTTTTAAAATTATAAAAAAACTTAGTAAAGTAAAATTATTGAATATTATTTTAGCTTGTTATAATAACAAATACATATTATTTAAATTTAATAATAATTTTTAATCTCTTTCAATATAAAAACTTAGTCTTTCCTATAAATAATATATAAATAACTTAAATTTTACAAAAATAATAACAAATTTTGGTGCTTTTTCTGGAAAGATAACTTTATATTATTAAAATTCTACTTGAGCAAAGAATTCTTTGTAAATAAAATAAATTATCATATTAAACAAAATTAAAAATTCTTTGTAAAAGAATAAATAACTTAATAAACATCTTTTTCAATTTGAATTTCACAAATTTAATTGATATTAAAGTTAAAAAATTATTTCAAAAAATAATTACTAAAGTATTAATACTAAATAATAATTTAATAAAAATCTCAAAGTTATTTTTAATAATTTTAAAGTATTTTATAGAGAAATAATTTACAAAATATTTCAACTACAACAAAAAAACTTTTGTAATATTATAAAAAAAGAAACTAAATTAACTAAACAAGAAATTCAAATTTATTTATATTATTTTTAACAAAAAATTTATTAATTTTGATAACAAAAAGAAGAATATTTGAAAAAGAAAGAATAATAAAGAAAATAACTATAGAAAATTTTAGTCTAAGAGAAATAATTTCTGAAAAAACAAAAAATTTATCAAAACTATTAAGAATTTTAACTTGTAAAAATTTAATAAAATAAATATTATTCAAAAATATTTAATCAAGTAATTAAATTAGTTAATCAATTACTAATATTATTTTTCAATACTAAAAATATCAGTAATTTAACAAAATAAACAATAAGAAAAATTTTAAAAAGAACAAAAAAGATTAATTAAAAAAAGATCAAGAAATAAAATAATAATTTAAAAACTTAATTACAGAATAAATACTTTAATAAATATTATAAAACAAAGTAATAAAGAAAATATTTAAGATCTAATTAGTCAATTACAAGATTTTAAAAATATATATTAAGTTAATGTAATTAGTAATAATAGAAAATATAAATAGTTAGAACTTATTTAAAAGAAATTCCTGTTATTTGCTTGCTAATAAAAGAATAGTTATAAATTAATTTATAAAATAGAATCTAGCTAATAATATTATAAATAATTTACTAATTTATTTATTTATTAATTTAAATTACAATTTATAATTCAAAATAAAGTTTATAAATAATAAAGATAATTAAAAGAAAGAAAATAATTATTTAATAAAAGTGTGAGATAATATATTACTATTATAAGAGAATTTTTATATTGAGTAGATTTAGCTAATAATTATTCAATTTATTTACAAGTATAAATAAACTTAGATCAGAAATCTATTTTTTTATTAATTTAACAAGATCTATAACTTTAAAAAATATTATTAATATAACATAACTAGAAAATATAAATTTTTATAATATATTGTTATAATAATTATATTTATTTGATGATATATTTTTAGATATATACTTAGATAGATAACTTTAGTAATATATTATAAGAATTATAAAAGTTATATTTTTCTTTAATGATATATTTTTGGTATATACTCAGTGAGATAAATTAAGTATGGTAATTTTCAAAAATATTATATATAAAATATAAAAAAATACTATATTTCTGATGATATATTTTTAGATATATGATAGAGTAGCTAACTTTGATAATATTATATAAGAAAAATAAAGATAACTATCATTTAATAGTATGTTTTTTCATATGTAAATAGATTTAATAATATTTATAAAATATATATTTATTTTCTTATATATATACTCAAAGTTAATTTATATTTTTTATTACTTGTTTCATATTAGGCTTTTGAATATATATTTAACTGATAGTATATATATAGTATAATCAAATAATATAACTTGATAATGTATTTGTAATATATTTAATAATATATTAATAATAATTATATGATATAGAATGCATACATATTTAATAATCTGTATATAGTATATCAGATAATATATATACAATATATCTAATAGTATATATTTTTGCTATTTGTCTTACAAATAACATGCAAATTGTAATTAGATCATCAAACTCATAATAAGATCAATTAGTTTACATGTAACTAACTTTATAAACTCAATTATGTATACATTTTATAGTATACAAATAGCATTATCGAAATTGAATTATAATAGAAAATATAAAAAAATTAGGATAGATTATCATAACCTAAATTAAATATTTCTTTACAATAAAAATTGATTAGAAATATTAAATTAATATACGAAAATTTATCTAAATGATTAAAATATTATTGATATCAAAGTTGACTTTCTAAAGGATGTACAAGCTGTCTAGGATCATCACTCAAATATCTGATAATTAGCATATAGTCTGATAATATGAATACAAATTCATCAACATATTTTTATAGATCTTGAATATTCAAGTTTAATGATATGAATACAAATTTGTCATCATATTTTTTATAGATCTTGAGTATTCAAGTTTAATAATATAAATACAAATTTGTCATCATATTTTTTATAGATTGTGGATATTCAAGTATAATAACAAGTTTGTAATTTAATCATTACTTGAATTATGATGTATATATAATTTCATCATCATATATAATCTAAACTAAATGGAAATAACATAATTATATTATTTCCACTTGTAGAACAACAAGAACATTGGCTCCAGATATTATTTCTGCATGCGAAAGATATTTTGAAACACTTAATATAAGTTCAAAAAAACTTCAAAACAAAAAAGAAGGAACAAGAACACTCATATTGAACTAAGTGCCAAAAATTGTAAATATATTAAATTTATATTATTATAGACTTTTTTGCAAGTGATGGTTAATATATTATATATTTAATAGAAAGCAAAAGCTCAATTGGAAATTCTAGATAATATTTCCAATTCTGATCTTAGATATTCAATTAATGAAATTTGCCAATGCTTTAAAATTGGTCTTAATTCTCCTAAAGTTTCTAATGTTAAAGTAGATGAAGGAAATGTGAATTTACTATAATTCAGATTCCATGGCGAAGTAATGAGGTATGATATTTGTTTTATTTATTAATTTTTAATAACTTTGTTTTATACAGCTTATAAGAATTCGGGATCACATTGATAAGCAATTAGAGATACGTACAACGCATTGATAATCAACAGGCAACAGGTCATCAAAATTCAGCAAATCACATCCCTTATAATGAAATGAAGCGTAATGATGTTCATTTCAATGAATATCATCACCATTTACCACGATGGACTTTAAATAATATTGATCCCTCGCTTTGAATTATCAAAAGAGCGATAATGACAACAGACAGCAATAAAATGATAGCAAAAAAAAAAGGGTTCACATAATATAATTTATTATTTATTTTACTATATAAATAAAAAACGCGTAAAATATTATGTGTAACATTCTGATATGAATCACTGAAAACTCGCTAAAAACCTACTAAAAACCCACTAAAAAACTTTCTTAAAATTTGCTGAAAACTTGCTGAAAACACTATCTTACATAACTATCGAAAAACGATATGAGAGTGTGGAGGTTTTTCTGTTGTAAAACTTTGCAAAAACTTTTGAATTATTATCAGTAAACATTCAGAAAATTTGACTTCCTACGGAAAGTTTCCTGTTGGTTTTTAATAGAGAACCAACCCATTTCTACCTGTGTGGTACATTCACTATAATCATGAGTTTTAGATGCTATCTTTGAGTTTATTAGTGTTTTATTTAAAAAACGATGATTTATATGTCGTCGTTCACTTGTGTTTGTAAAATGATTTATTCATGAAAAATAATACGGGAACACGACGTACTCCCATATTATGAATTAAATGAAGAAGGATAAAAACGTGATTCATCATGAATTCATGTACAGTCGCCATCAATTAATATACATTACGTATACATAGAATGAACTACAAGAAAATTTATGCTCGTTTCTTGGATCCTGGAAAATTTCGCTGAGATACTATTGCGTCGACCTCTAAATTATTTGAATTATGGATGTTTTCACAACACAATTATAAGCGAGACTGAATGATTTACGGAAAAGAGGTTCTTTAGGCGTTCTAAAGTTCTCCTGTGGCAATTTGTACGCAAATTGACTTTTAATGGTAGGGATATTTAAAAATAAATAGAATATTTTAAGAAAAATAATAAAATAATAGAATCCTATTTATTCAGCAAAATCAAAGTAATCTTTCAAACACAACAGGATTTATTGATACAGTCTAGTCAAAGAAAAACTCGAAATCCAAATAAAAGCAGAATTTCAATTCAATCCACTGCTTATTACTTTGCTTCGCAAGATTTGATGATGATCAAAAAAAATAGTGTATTCACGAGTAATATTATTATTACAAGTAAGAATTTTATTATTTATTCGATCAAAACATGTCTTCTCAGAGACTCAAAACACTTCTAAAAACAATTAAGCAATTATCGTTCAATATCTCTAATTGTCTCCCTATTGTAAATGATACATGAAAATACTTTTCGGCAGTGTTGTCACTTTACTATGTTCAGTTACTAGTGAAAATTGCCATCTAAACCTCGCCAAAATCACGTCCCAAGCCACTCATTTCCACTGTTAATGCTGAGAGGCGACTTGCCTGGTGTCTCACACATAAAGACTGGACAGCTCGACATTTTCGTCGTGTTTTGTGGTCAGATGAATCAACATTTTGCCTCTTTCAGCCACATGAAGAATGGGACATTGAATGTGTGAGTAGTACTGTCAAGCAAAGTCCTAGTCTGATGCACTGGGGTTGTTTTTCTTGGTATGGAACTGGCCCTCTCGTCGCGCTTAATGGCTCTGCCACTGGTAAGTCTCACGTTGAAATTCTTCGTAGGTACGTTTTGCCAACATTAGAGACCTACCCAGGAAATGTGGATCGTGGTCAGCCTTGGTTTCGACAAGATAATGTAAGACCGCACACCTCCAATATTGCTAACAATTTCCTCAAAAAAAACATAGTTCGAGTGTTGGATTGGCCCGCTCAAAGCCCAGACCTAAACCCAATCGAAAATTTCTGGCATGAGGTCAAAAACGCTCTTCGACGCAACCAAACCCAAGTAATCTCGTTGACCTTGAACGTCATGTTCAAGAAGCCTGGCGTGACATGTCACCTGAGCTTTGCCGTCGATTGGTAGATAGTATGCCGAATCGCGTTAATGCTTGTATTAAGCCGGGGGGAGGTCCGACAAAGTATTGTTAGCTTTGCAAGATTAATTTGGACTTAATGCGTCTCGAATCAGACAAAACACGTCACAATTTGGGCGAGATGAGTTTCGGTTAACAATAAATTTTAAATTTTATGTTTTATTTATTTATTTTTTGAATCAGTGATTTAAATCACTTGAAATTTTAAGATAATGTACATTATGATTTAGTAAATCTATTAGCTTATAATAATAAAGTATATTTTTTTATTGGTTTTTATGATATTACATTTTTAAAAGTGTCCACAATATTCTGGGAGGCCTCTGTACATGTACATGTAAATACATAGGAATACATGTAAATGATAATTTTTTATCAATAATATTAAATTTACTTTCAGAGCTCACCTATAAGCCGATTTTACGTCATTTTGACGAACTATTATAGTTATAAATTCTGTAGTCAGAATTAAATTTTTCTGATTTTGCATGGTACTAAAGTATAAGTTTATAGCAAATATTTGTAAAAAAAATAGTCAGGCAAAATACAATTTTTTAATTCCGGAAAACACGATTAAAATCCGACTAAAAAACAGAGGATGAGATATCTCGTGATCCACACTTTCAAGCCAGACAAAAAATACCATCATTCGATCCATCTAGTCTTTGCGAATCGAATGATGGTATTTTCAACCGGATTGAACATGTGAATCACGAGATGTCGCGTCCCAAAGTTATTGGATCAATTTTTTAATTTTTTTTGATAAAAATTAAAATGAATTAATTATTTCAAAAAACACTATTATTATTAAATTCACCTAGTTTGGAAATTAAATGTGGTCATTTTTACAAAAGTGGTCTGGTAATTCTTAAGATATCATGTTCAAAGTTGCTGATTTTTTTATTTCTTCAACTTTTAAACATATACTAAGCGAAATTTGTGGCTGTAAATATAACACACACCGCCTCCAGTTGACCGACTTTGAGAGGGTAAAATGGTAGTTTTTGAGTGCCGTGCAATTTGCAAGAAAAATAAGCCGTGATACGATGACGGGATAATGGTCTCTTGACGAATACAAGAGAAATAGGAAGGTCACAAGCTCTTAACAAGCAAGAAAAAATGCATATTTACAAGAAGCTAAGAAAACAACCTAAGACATTGTCAACAAAAAATCTTGTAAAAATTTACCCGAAGATTCTTCAAGGTAATTTCATCCTTTTTATAATATATTATGCTCATTAATTTGACAAAATATGGTGTTTCAGCTTAATCCTAATGATTATGAACCAATTAACGTATTCTCACATTGTAGTACAATATTCTAAAGTGTAAAAGCTTTTCAAAAACTGTTAACTATCTCAAGACTGCACTGAAGGAAGTTTAATGTTTTAGTTTGGGAAAGGTAAGCTTAATAAGGAATCGAGATGATATTGAAGCCATATAGAGGGTGAATAATGTATTATCGAATTTATATCTAAAATTTCATTTTAAAAAAAATTGGGCGTTACTTTCCATGGTGACTGTGCATTTAAAATAAAACATGTACAATATATCGTTTGAGTCACACTTATTTGATCATATGGTACAATAAGAATAATATATAGTAAAAATTGAAAATAGAAATTTAATTTATATCAAAATAAAGCTAAGAATTTGTTTTTTAGAATATTTCTGATTGTAATTTTATTATACAGACTTTTATAATTCTAAGCTAATAAATTTAATTATAAAAGTTTGTGTAATAAAATTTACAATTAGAAATATTCTAAAAAATATATGTTAAATAAAAATTTTTAGTCTTATTTTGATATATTTAATAACTATTATTTGTAATAATCAGCTAATTAGAATTTAATATAATTGATTAATATTAAAGTTGTTATATATAATAATTGTTAAAATTAAATTAAATTAATTTTATATTTAATAATAATAAAAATAATAAATATTAGTAAATTGTTAATTTAATTAATTATATAATTGTATTAATATTAATCAAATAATATAATATTAATATAGTCATACTATATTACTAAGTTATTATTTATTATTATTGTTATTTGTCATTTTTATATTATTCTTTTGTTTAATAATTTAATATATATAAATATTATAAATTTACTGATATTATTTTATTATAATATAATATTAATATAATTATAATATATTACTAAGTTATTATTTATTATTATTATTATTTGTCTTTTTTATAATTATTCTTTTGTTTAATAATTTAATATATATAAATATTATAAATTTACTTATATTATTTTATTATAATAATTTTTAATTATATTGTTACAAGTTTTTTCACTAATCATTAAATTAGCTTACAAACAAGAACTTGGATTGGGGGAGAATATAAACTAATAAAGAAATTATTAAGAGAGAAGAGGATATCTAAGATCTATGCCAATTTCTGCGAAAATTGTGTTTACTTAAAAAAAAATAATAATATGGGAGAGTTGTAGGAGAGTAAAGATCAAAGAAAAAGAGAATAAAGAAATAATAAAGGAGATTTGAAGGAGAATTCTATACTAATGTAAAGCTTGCTAGAACTTAAGATAATATAATTAATAATAATAATAACAAAGATTCTTTCACTTTGTTCTTCTCACGAGTGAGGAATATTCGTTAACAATTAAAAATTCAAAATAATAAAAAGTAAAAATACTTATAAATCTAATTTCAATAATTCTAATACAGTGATTTGTTCAGCACAATATGATATAAAGCTCAATAATTCAATAATAGTAATTTGTTTGGCACAATATGATATAAAGTTCAAAGTTAATAATAGTGATTTGCTTAGTGCAATATGATATAAAACTATCAGCAATTTGATAGATTCAATATGATATAAGATCACTTATACACAAGATTTGAAATGTATAAAGAAAATATTAGAGATGAGAGGTATTTGGAGAAAGATTTTTGTTAAGAGAGATTTTTATTTTCAGTTACAACATGTTGAGTTAAGGCTCAGACAGCATCTCTATTTATATATTTTTCAAAATTACAAAAAGTAAAATAAATAATTATAAAAAAATATATAAAAGTGAAATAACTAATTATAAAAAGTGAAATTTCAAAAAAGTGAAATAATAAAAGTGAAAAAATGAAAAGTAAAATAATAAAAGTGAAATAATATATATAAAAGTAAAAATTAAAAAGTAAAAAATTGAAAAAGTGAAATAATAAAAGTGAAAAAAATGAAAAATAAAATAATAAAAAAAATGAAATAATATTAGGAGATTTTATTGTTATATGAATATTTTTAGAATTTTCATGTTTTTCAATTATATTTGAACTTATAATTTTTTATATTACTATTGTAATATTTATTTCTCCTTCAAAAATTTTGCTTCGCAAAATCAATTTTGACTTGATTTTTATATTCGTTAAATTCTTTTTTACTTAATTGATATATCTAAGAAAATGTCAATTTAAGATTAGTTTGTGATAGAAGTTCTTTGATTTCAAATATTTTGAAGATCTTCTTTATAATATGAAACATTTATTCACAAAATTTATATTTTCCAATTTTTTGATGAATAGATCTTTTCGATTATTGTAAATATTTCTGATATTTTGGCAGTTGGTTATGAAGCATTTCTTTAATTTCAAAATAGTATTCTAACTTTTGTTTTTCATCTTTTCTTTGATGATATATTTTTCTTAGAGCTTTTTCTAATTTTGTCTTCTAAATTTCATTAGTCGATTCAAATTAATGTTCCTTGAGTTGTTGTTCTTCAATAATTTTTGTTGTTAATATCAGATTTATAAATTCAACCAATTCTATTATTTCTGTTGTTCTAATAATTAGTCTAGAAGAAATTATGATTTCTTTATAAAATATTAATTCATCAAAGTCTTTAAGAAATTCTGAATAGTCAATTACTTCAGAGAATGAAACTGATAGTTGTATTTCGAAAGTAATAATATCATCAAAGAGAAAATTATTGAGAAATTCTGAATATTGATTAAAATTTTGAGTTATTGTATAATATTGTTGTTATTATCATCTTTGATCATAACTTCATGAGTTGAGAAAGAGATTACTCTATTTGGTTAATATAAGAATAAATCTTCCAACATTTTGGTGAAATATTCTTTTATGCATGGTGAAATTCATCCAAGTAGAGATATTATAGAAATTAAAAGAATTAAAAAAGAGAGTTTAAAAGAATACAAATAATTTTGAAAGTGATAATTTAAAAGAGATATTCAAAAAAAGATATTCTATTTATAGTATTTTCAAAGGGAAGATAGTATTATGATACTAAATTATAATAAGAGTAATAATAAAAAATCTACATATTCTACTAGTACTTTCAGTTTAAATAAAGTTGATCGTTCATGGAATATTTTTAATTGTGCACTATTCATTAATTTCTTGAGTAATTGTTCTTGTTGGTTTTGTAATTTATACTCCATTTTGAAAGATTTTGTATATATAGTACCATTCCTCTTTCCATTAAAATTTAAATTTGTTTCCATGTTCAACATATCTTTTCATATTGTAAATCAGAACTTTGTCTCCAATTTTGAATTGTTGTACTTTTCTTAGTTTTTTATTATATTATTCTTTTGATTTTTCTTGTGAAAGATTAATATTCTTCTTGATATTAATAATTTATCCAGATAAATAATCAATTAAAGTAAATATTCTATCTAATAATTGTTTTTCTATTTTAACTTCTTTTTTGAGTGTCGCTTTAAATTTAAATTCTATTGATAGTTGTGCTTTTCTTCTATATATCAGAAAGAAAAATTCATGTCATGTAGTATTATTTTGTAAGATTCTATAAGCAAATAATATGACTGAGATATGATTTTTCCATTCTTCATCTAGAATGATAGTAAATTTTTGTAATATTGTTGATAATATTCTATTGAATTATTCTATAATTCTATTTATTTGTAGATGATATGGTGATGAATATTTATATTGTTACAATAGTAATATAAATATCACAAATTCAAAAATAATTAAAAAACATAAAAATTCCAAAAATATTTATATAATGATAAAATTACCTAGTATTATTTCACTTTTCATTATTTCACTTTTTATTATTTTACTTTTTATTTTTTACTTTTTATTTTTTACTTTTCAAAAATTTCACTTTTTATTTTTCACTTTTTAGAAATTTCACTTTTTATTTTTCATTTTTATATATTATTTTACTTTTTCAATTTTTTACTTTTTATTTTTTACTTTTACTTTTCACTTTTAATTATTTTACTTTTTATTTTCACTTTTATACATATTATTTTACTTTTATTATTTCACTTTTATTATTTCACTTTTTTAATTTTTCACTTTTTATTTTATATATATATTTTCACTTTTAGTTATTTCACTTTTTAATTTATCACTTTTTATTTTTAACTTTTTCAAAATTTCACTTTTCACTTTTATAATTAGTTATTTCACTTTTTGT